TATTTATGGAGATTGAATCAAAGAATATGTATACTAATTCTCTGTTAACATTTTGTTTAGAAATTTATATGCTGTTACCACTTGCCAACAATCAAGTTAGGCATAGGCATGATTACATTTTCTTTTCTGATCTCTTACTTTCTTTATTTCTTTCTTTTCTTCTTTAAGAAGAAGGGGGAAAAAAAAAGAAGAGGAGCAAAGTTTGGATTAGTGAAAGAGAGTGGTTTTACCTATCTTGAAGCACCATTTTAGTGAAAGCAACATTCAATCAAGTTCCTCTAGTATATTGTTGATATACTTTAGTAAACTAGGTGGAGTTTCATAGAAATATAAGTTAGCTTGACTGACCTTGTGGATCCTGTATAAGACATTACAACCTGAGTTGATCTGCTTAAATTTGGGAGGTAATCCCTTATTTGATTGATATCTTAGGTGCACTGGCACAGAATTTCCTGAAAGCTAGAAGAGTTACTGAAGATCATAAAGAGAAGTAGAGGCTTTTTGTTGAGAAGAAAGTAAGAATTCGGACCATTCTAGTATTGTTTCCGGTAGATAAGCGGCCACATATTTTTGATGGAGACACCAACCAAAAATCTTACTTATAGAGCCGGTCATAACTCTTATAGACAGTTGGCATCTTTGGATAGGGTTTAACACGCCGACACTATGAATTATTCTATCCACATGTACTTGCTTAGTTTACATGCTAAAATGATTTATGAGCTTGAGTTAATTGGTGGAATGATTTGGTTAACTGGTTTGCACACCATAAAGTTATTACTCTCACTAATTACACTTTTATCGACAATTAGAGGTGTTATTTGGGCCATGAGTACCTATTCCTAGGGCTCATTGCCACGATGCATTGTGCTGTACGAGTCTTGACAAGGTTATCCTTTCTCCGCCAGGTTTGGCTGTCTATTTGTTTTCATTTTTTGAATTTTTATATAAACTAGTGACTTAAAATGGAAAATTGATATGCCATGCTTTTGCAGCCTGTAACAGCTTTAAATAGACTATATTGTTGAATCAAATGTGTACTATGGAGTTATTGTAATGCAAGAAAGTTTAACCTTGCTTGATTTGAAGCCAATACTATAGACATTTGGTGCACAAAGGTAAACTGTAATCCTGTGTCTCAAAAGTCTCTTCATGTAGGGTTTCATCTTCCTCGACAATTGTAAACCTGTTCCTTAATGTGGAAGAGCAAAGTCCACTTTTTCCATCAACTGTTTTCACCTTTGAACGTGCTCTGTCCTGTAAATTTATAAACCCTTACACTTACAGCATAGGATTGTAAAAAAAAAAACCTAGAGCAAAAATTTTAATTAGCGTTCCAGATTAATGACCTTGATTTTTGAACCCATATGATATGCAATCTGGTTACATGACTTCTTTGTCAACAATGTACGGAGATTTAGATGTTTGATTGAGATATGCTTTTATCTACAGTATACTATTGATGAGTGAAGCATTTGCTGCCATTTTGGCGTGGCAGCAGAATCAGTATGTGGCTGCAACGAAGAATTCATGCTAAGCCCTTCATATCTTTACTTTGCCACAGAACACCTTAAAGCCTCCATAGTCTGGTTTGCAAGCAAAATCGTTCCCTTAAGGAAATCCATTGAAAGTAGGAACTTGTTCAAGGTGCCAGAAAAATGCAGAGAAAGAGCCATGATTTTGTCATTTCTATTTTGCTGACAATTTGCACCTTTGACTCTTTTAACAGATCTCAAGTGTTGTCCAATTGCTAATCTCCCTCTCTCTCTCTCTCTCTCTCTCTCATTTGGTGCATGTTTTGATTGATGTTGTTCACATTGGGTCGAGAAGGTGAAACATGAAAGTAGTTCTTAGATTTGCTCTTTCTGTTCTCTTGAACAGTAAATAGTAATAGCTCATAATTGTGATTACTTATGTGTTAGAGTCTTCCTTTTTTTCTTATCTTGTTGTACAAACTATAGATTAGTTGATCGATTTTTTGGATTTGACTGATACTGAGTGAACCTTCCACTTTTGATTCGCATGGACAACCTCAATCCTGAAGAGGTAGGAAAAGCAGAGAGTGTTGCCTACCTATGGAATTGATGTTTGAAATCTTACGTGAAAAAGAAAAAAGATCAAAGAGCCTTCTACATCTTACAAGAGTTTTCAGAGAAAAATAGGTTGTGCAAGCTTATTGGCAGGTATGTTTTATACAAAGTAAATAAGCCTCATCCTTTGATTTCTTTTCCTGTTTTATGCTGATCGACCTCAATCCAGTCCTAAGCATTCCTAAGGATAGCTGCACAAGATATTTATCTTCACATAGTTAATCTTAACATTGTATGCAACTTTCTAAAATTTTATATTCAGATTGCGGTTGGCAGAAAAGTATAAAAAAAGCAATTGTATACCCTGCATCAGCTCCTTTGTTTAATGTGTGTTTTTGGATTGAGTTTAGCATGTTGACATTACTGTATGTGATTTCGCCATTTAATCACTTGCTTTAAATATTCAAATATTGACATAGCACTTTGGATTTCTGCCATGTTCTGCTTGGAGTTGACAAGTTAGCATAGTATGAATTTTCTTAACAGCTTATTTAACCATTTCAGATAATCAATCTTGTTGATGACTTATTTGAACAGTTAGCAATAGCATTAGAATTGAAATTTTGAATTGTATTTTTCATTTCTTACAAAAAGTAAAAATGATTATGATTTATAACTTTTGTTATGAGACTGTAAGGTAGAGCTTTGCAATATCATGTATCAACCAAATCTAATTTGTTTAAGAAAGGCTGGTGTAGATAGAGCTTATTTGCCTTGGTTCAAGTGCTTTGAACATTTTGGAGAATTACTTAGGACTATGGACATAAATTCTACCGCAGTCAATTATGTAATCTTTACCTGGATATAGCTAAAATATTTAATCATGAGACAAATAATTTTAGACATGAAATGGCAAGTCATAAAGATATCTTGTGACAATTAGCTGGCACAGACTAACTCAGTCCGTTTTAAACGCTCCTGTGTGCTAATTTGGATTCATCTGGTCCAAGCAGGTGGTTATGTCTTTTGACTCCCTATCTGAGTCTGTAAGATTGAGCTTAAGCAGAGCTTGAGCAGTTGTATTTCCTTGGGTTATTACTTTTCCTACACAGTATGAACTGTTCTTCTATTTGTGTTACTATCAATGTGAAAAACAGGGTCCAAAGGGGAAAAAAAAATGAATTACTCTCTTTGGTTTTGTAGTTAAATGGACATCAAGAGAACTTATCTATCTGGGTTGAAATCCTGATAATAACATCCAATGACAAGGTCCCTTTATCCCAGTTTGACAGAAACTGTTTGCCCCATTGTATTTTGCATCAATTCAACCAAGCAAGGGAAAAATGAATTGAGATGGTGAGTTTTGTCTTTCCTTTTAACAGTCTTGATCTTTCTAAAACATTTTCAGTTTAGGGCTTAGGGTAAAGGCTGTTTGTTTGGTGGAATGGTCTATGTTAACTGGTTTTGATACCATAAGTTAATTACTCTCTGTAATTATACTTTTATTTTATTATATCGAAATCTAGAGGTGTTATTTAAGCCATGTGCACCTATGCCTAGGACTCATTGCATGCACTGGGCATGATCACATGTTTACTGGTGCTTCTCCAGATTTGCTCCTCTATTTGTTTTGATGGAATCAAGAGATTTTGAGGATTCATCATCAGAATCAAACCTAACACTAATATTGATGTTAAGGAACACCAAAAGTTGGTATTTTTATATTGGGTCTTCGAATATCGTGAGCAGGTTGAATGAATAGTCATTGTTTTTTTCATATCATAGGGATACTGAGAAGCAATAGAATCTCCTGGGACGATTTTGGGAAATTTGGATTCAGGATGGGAGTTTTCACGTTTGCATATAAGAATAAATTTCCTGACCCAAATTTATTATAGTATTTTAGATCTGCAAAAACTTGAGATTCCCAACTTTTACAAAAAAAAAAAAATGTGAATGCTTAGATGAAATTTAGAGATTCCCATAAAAAATGGGATTTTAAAAAGTATCATTGATTGCAGGTATAATATTGCGTGGCAGTTTTGCACTTTGCAACAGACAACAAAGATGTAATAATTGGCGCAGAAGTTAAGAGGGCAGCTCTTGTTAAGGGCTCTAAATGAAGAGTGAGCTCGGCGATCGGTTCATGGAATTTGAATTTTTCTTCGTTTATATTTTTTTTATCAAATTAAATAAATAATTTTGAATAAAACTTTAAGATTCATTTGATAAATAAATATTATGTCATTGAAGAAGTGACATGACATAGAACGAAATTTATTTGTAAATTTTTATAAAAATATTATTGCAAGTTACTTGTTATACGCACAAAAAACGGCATGATCAAGAAATTTGCTAAAAGCCAAGAATTTCATCTAGGGTGAAAAAAAATTTTATATGAAATAATTATGTCATATTGATATATATTTCATTTAAACTATGTTAATTATATTACTAAAAAAATAATTATTTATTATAAAATAATTAATTAATTTTTTAAAAATATTTATTATTTAATTATTACTTATGATATATAATAAATGATTAATTTTTTTTAATAACTTGATTATGTCATGACAATAATGTGAGGGAATCAGAGGATCACTTCAACCAGAACTTTGCGCATCAAAGAATCAGATATGGTCCCGCACATGGGACCCACATTATTTCGTAACGTCTATTTTTGGCAATATCATTTAATGGAGTGTGAATTTGGGTTCAAATTCTGCCCTGCCGTTGTGCCTGCTGAGCCTTGGCGTTGACATTGGCATGTGGCTTAGTCTCCAAAGGGACAAATCTTGTTTCTGAAATATAAGACATTTTTGGTAAATAGTTTAATCCTTATGGTGGGTTGAATTGATCAAAGAATTGAAATTTGTTTTAGTTATAAAAACGAGACACCGCTAGTAAGCCGACCTTAGCTCAGTTGGTAGAGCGGAGGACTGTAGTGGTATGTCTCAAAGCAATCCTTAGGTCGCTGGTTCGAATCCGGCAGGTCGGAATTTTTTAATTTTTCATTATTTTGAGTTTTATTATCTATTGAATTTATTGTCACAAGTTTCATAATACCAACGTGATTATAGAAATTGAAATAAAATTCAAAACTTCTTTTAGCGTAGTAAAATTTTAAATCATTGCATTTGAAGTTGGAAAAAACCATGGGCGTATGTTTTGATTGGTTTTGGAGGTAGGTGTGGTGTCTGATTAAAAAAGCCTTTGCCTGACACTGCCTGGCAATAAATGCACCAATTCCCCAAACCCCCAGATCCAGACCTGAGCCAACTTTCTCCATATATATATATAAAGCACTTGCCAAGTACTGGTTATCATCACTATCAGTATCATTATTAGAGTTCTAAACTCAAAACTTCGATCCCTTGGTTTTCTCCGTTCCCCAAGCTTCCTCGGTAAGCCCTCTCGCTTTCTCTTTCCCATGTACATTTTATGTCTACATTGAAGATTTTTTGTTTATGATCTGTTATTGGCGTTGATTCCTTGTTCTGTTATTTGGATTTGTTTTTTTTGCTTCTTTGGCCTTTTCCAAGCCAGGGTTTTTTGGTTGAGTTCTGTGGTTTTCTTTTCAATTTTTTAGATCTTTGTTTTGGGATGAATATATGATAGAGGTTATGAGATTACATATTCTTTCATATGCTAAAATGAAATTTTCAATTTTTTATTTGGAAAAGTTTGGAACTTGAAACCCTGAGAAAATAAAAGGAATAGCTTTTATTCTTGAGTTGATTTTTTATTGTTGTACACCAAAGGCAGCCATACTCAGACAATAAAAAAGAGATTAATTTTTGTTAGTGAAAGGTACACTTTGTATTTGTGCACTAGAAGAGTCTAGAAATGTGAAAAAACCATTTATTTCTATTGATTTTATGCGGTTAATCATTTACCCTGTTTGCTTTGGTTATTTTCAATTTTTGCCTTTTCTTGATATTAAGGTCAGATGTTCACGTCTTTGTCTTAATACATTCTATGAAATAGTGAACTTGTCTGTCAATGGTGCGGATAAAAAAATGAACTTGTTTTGGTGTGGAGGTTGATAGGTGACGCCTTGGGTTATTGTGATTCAGTTTACCATTATGTATAAAGATAATTGTTGATGTGGATGGTTTAATTGTAAATGGTCCTAAGTTTTGGCATTTTCATGAGTGGTGCATTCAAGACTGGAAAGATGTAAAAGAAAGTTGCTTTTAAGTTACAGTGAAATGTAGTGGGTGGTAGTAAAGCTTTTGCATTACAGCAAGTTCATATCCTGCAATTTATTCACATTATTGACTCATAATAAGGTGTTTTTTTCAACATGTTGTTGAGAGGAACAGGAGAAAAGTTCAAATGCTAATTTTTGTGGTTTAGTCATTTGTGTATCTTGGAGATCTTCCTAGTTTATTTTGTCATACACGTTGATTCTTATTGTGCCTTTTGGCAAGTGCTAGAATGTGGTCTCTGACATTGACTTCTGTTCTGCTCAAAATGGGATGGGGGAAAGAATTGGGGAATAAGTAGACCAAGCTTATGAGAAAATCCATGCTTTGGCTTGCTTACAATGTATGCCTGTTTCTTTAATCTTTCTTCCAAATGATATTGGCTTCTGCTTATTCTATTGTGGGGGTGTGAAGAAAGGGGGAATGGGAACAAAAAGTAAGTGAAGAGTATGACAAGAAAGATTACTTCGATTTTCTAAGAATTATTATGAAGGTAAACCATGAATTGTTCATGTCCAGTATGTTCTTGAAAAGGTGTTAATATGTGTTTAAAATATGGAGCCTCGAGTGAAGAGCAGAGAGCCCTTAGCTAGCCTCTTCTCATAGTGTTCCAGACATTAATTGTCTTGTTAGTACAGAAATGGATAATACGCTTTGTTTTTCATTTATAGTGTTATCAAGTTACAACTTTACTCACATCTTTTTATGTAGATCTTTAAGGGCGTTTAGAAGGGTCCAAGAAGTAGTGAGCACTAGGTATAAATCTTTCTTGTACTTCAGGAACTCTGGCTAATGGTTGTATGATCCATCGTACCTTCAATCTTCCATGTTTGATCATGCACTGGAGAATTGCAATGAACCAAGAGATAGAAATATTAGTTGACCCAATGCATTTTATATATAGTGAATGTCATTCAGTGGGGTCACGCATGAGCATGATGCCTTTTTTTTTTTTCACTCTTGAACTTGATACATGCGCATCCCTCTTTTCTCAACTTAGCCCCCACTCCTCAACTCCATCCCCTTTTTCAAACATAAGAAAAAAGATTAAACTGAGTTCATTTTAGTAATTTTTCTCATCTTGTTGCTTTGAATTGCACACAAGGCATACATGCAAATATATTGTATAAAACCAGTATAAAAAAGACAATGTACACATGTCTTGATATCTTGAAATGGTTGTAGTTCTTTGATATCTTGGGATATCGTTGGCTTCTCAAGTTCACATCCAACTAGTATATTCTATTATGTTGCTTGTTATATTAAATTTAGATTTAACAGCTTATCTATGTTGCTGATAATTGATCATTATTCGTAACTAGGGGGCTGAACAAGTGCACCTTAGGTCACTGGTGCCTTCAGTTTTAGTTGCAGCCTTTCAGCTGTCATTTGATGGCAGGATCATCTTGCTTGCCTCCTGCTTGACTGAAATTTTTAGTTTTCTGAATTAATGTTTTTTAAATTCTTGTATGTTGCAACCACTTATACCACTTATATGACGGATCAGTTTTGCCATTCATTTTTCTGACTAGTCAAATTACCAGGAAGGAAGAAAAAGAAAAGCTGACAATTAAGAGTAAAGATGACAACTGTGAGCCTTATCTCCCCTCGTATTGTTAAAGCTACAATCCCCAACCAATTTTCAAGTGCTAAAGTCAAGGCCACATCTTTTGGATCTGTTAAAAGAATCTCTATATCATTTGGCTTGAAATGTTCCTTTAATCACAGAACATCAATGGCGGCCTACAAGATTAAGCTTGTAGGACCAAATGGTGACGTGAAAGTGTTTGAAGCCCCTGAGGATCAATGCATTTTAGAGGCAGCCGAGAAGGCAGGAATAGAGCTGCCCTATTGTTGCAGGGCTGGAGCTTGCTCCATATGTGCTGGGAAGATAGTTTCAGGTTCAGTGGAGCAATCTGATGGTATCTACCTCGATGAAGAACAATTGAAAGAGGGTTATATGCTGACTTGTGTTTCATACCCAACCTCAGACTGTGAGATTCACACTCACAAGGAACTTGATCTTTACTGTCAGAAATAAGTAGGGTCTGAAGTTGTCTGAAACTCTTTATCTAAATTTTCTATCAATGAATGCTCCCACGGACAATATGTTGTCTAATGTTGTTTGTCATGTTTGTGGCTGAATGCCATATCAGTGTAGAATGTCAATCTTATTTGTCGATTGCCATAGATTCAGTTGGACCTGTGGCCTCTTAAAACTGCCACATTAACAGGAGGAAAAAAAAAAAAAAAAACCCTGAAAATCTTTGTGCCCAAGCTCTGGTGCTGCAAAGTTGAGTTTGATAGAAGGATCTCTTGCCTTGTGGGGGAAAGGAAGTTCGTTTTGTTCCCCAAAAAATCTCAACTTGATATAATTTATAGACCTAGGCAATATGTTTTCAAGCTTAATAAGATAGAAACATGAAAGACAATATTTTCCAAGAAGCTACCTTATAGAAGGCCTTGATCAGGCTGGTGTCTGAGGGGAGAAAGAAAAGAGGAAAAACAAGGGAAAATGGGAAAGAGGAGGAAAGGAGAGAGGATGGAAAAGAAAAGTAGGAAAACGAAAGTGCTTGGGCTTGTTGCTAAAAGGCTCCTTCCTAAACTTTTAGACATCGAAAATAAATTTTCATCCCAAGATAAAAAGATGCAGAACTTTCAGATTTCTTATTTTTATTATTATTAAAAAAGGATCGATTGTTAAATACGAATCAATTGAATTAAATTTCAAGATCAACTTTTATAATCCTTGTTGTGTAATAACTTTCTTATCCTAAATTGGTTTATCCCATATCAATTACAATTGGACCCAAAATGCCATAAAATGAGATCTCAGAAGGAAAAAGCCTCAAATCACTATAAACTAACAAAAAGAAAAAGAGCATGAGACAAAGTTGAGGATATGTATAATAGCTGTTACTAATTTTCTTTGCTGAAAGGAGCAGCAAGTGGACCACAATTTTCACTCAACTTTCTATAAGAAAAGAAGATGTTGAGGGAAAGATAAAACACCCTTTCATTGACCACAATCCCACTAAAAATTATAGAAAGGTAAAAAGTTTGTTCTGCTAAGAGAGTTTTCCTTCTTCTAGGCTATTGGAAACCTGGACCACACCTTCAAATTATCAAAAGCCCACAAATCATTTTCCTCTTGTATATATTTATAAACATAAGTTCATGTTTTTTTCCCCTTCCTTTTCAATGGACTGATTGAGAGACAAAATTGATTATCCCTCAAAAAGAAAGTTTTGGTTGAGGAAAATTGTCATCCAATGGTTGAAACTGAACAACAATGGATGAAAGTGGATGGCCTTAGAATCCAATGAGTGCTCAATGAAGGCATTAAGTGTGAGAGGAATTCATAACAAACCACTTTCATTCCTTCAAGACTCATTTTCTTTTCTTTCCATTCACTTTTCCATGCAGCTTTTTCTCTCATCAGTGGGCATATGCAAAAAGACCCCTTTTTTTTGGAGTGGCATGTTTTTTTTCCATAGTGACTAGATGCCCCACAATATTTCCACATAACTTCCAAATCTCTCAAATTCTCAAATCCTTTCTTCCATCTAATTATTTCATTGCATTTCACTTCATGCATGCATTGTCTTAATTTGTGGGGTCTTCTTTTTTTTTTTTCAAAAAAACCAAATATAAGAAAAAAATAAAAAAATTGATTATTATAAGTTTTTTATAAACATGACAATTCGTATATTTGTGTCATATAAATATTAATAAATTATATATTTGTATTGTATTTTACATAAAAATATAAAATATTAATTATGATTCTAAATTAATTATCCAAAAATATTTGGATTACGTGAATCAATTCGAATTAAAATCAATGTTGTGCAATTAAATTTAAAAAATGATGTTCAACAATTTGATAAATTTTAATATTTTAAAAAATAATATTTAATAATTTTAAATTTTAATATATAATTTTTTTTTATCTTTACACTAGATTCTTTTTTATATTAAATAAAAAAATCATAAAATTTGAAAATTATACGCAAATATGTATGCTTTAAGATCATCAAAAGCAAGATGATTCTAGTCCTATTTCAATTAAACAAAATTGGGAAGCAAACAGGACACGTGCCGCTGCTGAGGTGTTGGCCGACCTGCGTGATGAAAGCAAGGAAGGCGGTGGTTAACACGTGCGCTCCACTTAAGATTCGCGTCGGCACAAAGAATATTTTATGTTTTGTAAAGGAGCGGTAATTAATTTGAGAGTGGTAATTCCGCTTTCAGATCCCATATCACTTTTCGACATTGGAAATGATGCCTTTGTTTGTTTCTTTGCTGCCACGATTTCTTTCAAACCAATGAAAGATTCCCTGTCTGACACAGGTACTTACCTGCCACGTGCATGAATATTATTGGTTATGTTGAAGTTTGGTAGCATAAATATTCAGATTCTCGATGTTATGTTTAGAGAATATAACACAGTAATTGATGAATTATGAGTACCATTGAAGCTACAGTTCTTTATGGGCCGGGCGGCCAGATTCGATCAGCTTTCCAAAGATTTATTCAAAATTTGATTTGATTCATTGAATTTAAGAGATTCGAAAATTTTAAATATGTATTAAAAGATTTTATATTTTAATTTTTTAATTATAACTTGAATTAAAATTAAATAAAAATTTATTAATAATTTAATATTTCAAATCCATCAAGTTCAAATTTAAAAAAAAAATTTTCTTTTAAGAGTTGACACAAATCAAATCAAATTTATAAATTAATCAGATAATATAATTCAAGTACAATTCTCTTTAAGTTTACGAGATTTGAGTTAAAGTTTTCATTTTTTTTTGTTTTCACCCAAATTTAAGAAAAAAATTTTCAAAGTAACATATAAGTTTTTGATAAAATTTTTTTTCAACCCAATTAATTTATTTTTACTTACATATAGTGAAGATTTTCTATTGATATTAAGGGATTTTTACATATTTTATTAGAATATATTTTAAAAGTTAATAAATTAACATAATAAATTATAAAACATGTGATAATATTTTAATCTTGTTTGTAATTTTAACAAAACTCTATCAATAATGTATAAGATAATAACCCTTAAAAAAAATCAAGACATGTGTAAAAATAAGATTATTCTAAATCACACGGTTTTGTTTGGGTACATAATTGTATGATTTATTGGTAAAGTGATTAATTTTTAATTTTATTAATCAAGATTTAAATCACGGTAACATCAAGTATAAAAAAAAAATTATCCTAAACAATTTATGAAATGATTGGTATATAAGATTATGATAAAATAAAATAAAATGATATTATGAATAAGATTATATTAAATAATATCATCATATCTTGTGTTTAATGTGTGCAATAATTATGATAAGATAATTTATTTATTGTTCAAAATTATTCTTCTTTAAAGTTTATATAATTTAAATTATTAATATAATTTTTAATGATAAGTTCAATTTTATAAATTAAAATAATTCTCTTTATTTTGGGAGGATTGAATGATTTTTTACAAAAAAGATGATTAATTCTCTTTATAATTTTATTCATTTCTTTAAATATAAATCAAATATAATATAAAATAATTATCATTTTATCATATCTATCATCTTATACACCAAACATGACTTTAAAGTATGATATAATTTATCAATTTTATTGAACCTAAATTTAAAGTATTAATCTCATAAGGCACTTATTAATTACATTTATACATAGAAGAAAGTGCAAGAAATAACTTTTGGTTGTTTAAACTTTAAATGGTAATTAGTATTTTCATTTTAAATGTTGTGTTAACAAGTAATATTTAAGAAGAAAATACTTGTTAATACCTATTTTCATCATCATAAAATTTCACATCATCATCAATCTGGCAGGTGTGTTTATTTTAGCAGTATACAATGCATCAAATGTAGCCCAAACTCATAATTCAAACCGATTCTTAGAAGAAGCATATGTGAATTATTAATTCAATGATATTAAAATCGATTATAGGATTGAAGGTTTTTAAGTTGGAATCTAATTCAAAATTAAAAAATTATATATATATATATATATATGAATTTGCTGCAACCCCTAATACAAAGAACATGTTATTTAGAAGTCGGTGAGTTGATTCCTTTTGTAATGTTGGGTCTTTAGCAAACAATTAATTTAGGGTTACCTAAACTTGTTTGATATGATATAGATAAGAAATAAATAATTCAAATTTCGTCTACTTTCATTATTTTTAATAAAAATTTAAAATTAAAAAATTAAGAAATAAATGATAAGCAAAAGGCAAATAGTGTTCTACTTTATTGAAGTGACTTGTTTTGGTTGGTCATGCATATGGGTGTAAGGATTAGAACATTGGACAAGTAGTTCATAATCATGGTCATTTTTTGTTTTTTTTATATTTATTTATTTATTTTGATAAATAATTATAAATAATAATTTGATCTATTAATTAAATGAATAGATTATAAACATAATAAAATTTATTCATAGTCAATTTGTTTATAACGTAAAAATGTAAATGAAAAAAATATTTAACGGATAATTTATAAATAAACTCCATTTATTTTTATTTATTTATATAAATATGATAAAATTCGGTAATATTTGATTTGTCAAAATAATATAATAGGTACATAATTATTATATTTCACATCTAAATCAAAAAATTTGAAGTGTTTTAAAATAAGTTAAGAATTTAAAATCTAAAGAACTCAAATTAAAACCGACCTTCTTGCTAGCGATTTGGGATATTTATAACACATTTTCTATTCCAATAGTGATTTGTATCAAAAAAATCTATAAGGGATGATGTGAAATTATATAATCAAAATTTCAATTCTATTTTCACACACAAAAATAAAATAAAATCTAAAACTAAAAGGATTTTTAAAATGTTATTAAGGCTAAACCTAGTTAATTCCAATTAAATTTGGGCTTGATAAATTGTATTTCCCCATTATATATATTATATCCAATATATATGATATTAAAATTATTATATTATAATTTATGTTGATATATTAAATATAAATAATATTTTATTTTAATAAATTTATATATGATTTTATCAAAATTTTAAATTATATCTCTTATATATATATATATTTCGTATATTTTCATGTCACGTCGCCTAACTTTCTATAAGAGGAATGAGTTGAATCCTCTCTGGCACTTGGACTTTCCTATTTAAAATTTTCATCCACAAACAGCTGAGCTACTGTCATCATTTTAAAAAAAAAAAAACTAGAAGGGCAGATAGGGAAAATCAAATAATTTTGTCGGCAGTTCGCCTGAACAAGGGTTAGTTAAGATAAAAACAGCCAGACGGTACTCTTATAGAACAACTGCCCATTAAAATCCTATAAAAAAATTATGGCTATTAAAAAAAGTGCTATTTCCTTATTACAAAAACAGAGTACGTTGGGGAGACAGAGGAAACAGAGAGTTTTGCATATATAAAGAGCAAGGAGAGAGAGAAAGCATTTTAGTGACAGATGATGCGTCGTCGCTGAAAGGGTTAGTTAAGGTCTTGGTTTAAGCGCGAAGATTACATCAGTTATGGCTACCTGTTCTTCTCTTCTCTTTGGACTGCTTTTGGTTCTTCTCACCTCCTCAGGTTTCTATTCTTTGTTTCAAGTTTCAACTACTTTCTCATTTCACAGTTAGAGTTGCTCAAAGAAAAATGCTGAAAATGATAAACACAAAGGAAAAAAGATAACCATTTTGGTTATAGTTTCAGAGTTTTTATTTAGTAGTAACCCAAGAATCAAGCTTTTTTTCCTTATCTTTTTATATAATAAATGATCATTTCTGGCTGCTGAATGTTACAGTGTGCACATGTAGTTGGTTCATGATGATTTATTTCTCTTCAAATAAACCAAAGTTTTATGCATGAGTTGGATTTTTTTTTTCTTTTTGGAAAGGAATTTTAGGCATCTTGACTTATTTTTAAATGAATACTCATATTTTTAATCTGATATTAATTTTTTTTTTTGTTTTCATCTTTCAGTGGTAGCAGACTATAAATTTTTTGGTCCCAACCATATTATAATCACTCATTTCTTACCCATTACTTTTGTTTCTTTCTTGGTTCTTTTTTTTTTTTTTCTAGATTTTTTATGTTTTAAATACCCTTGTGATTCACTTCTTTTTATTCTGGTTTCAGATTCGCCAGTCCAAACCCTTGGTCTTGGAGTTGGAATCAACTATGGCCAAATAGCAAACAATCTTCCTTCTCCTTCACGTGTCGCCTACCTCCTCAGATCCCTCAATATCAGCAGAGTAAAACTCTATGATGCAGATCCAAATGTTCTTGTTGCTTTCTCCAATACAAATGTTGATTCATTATTGGACTCGGGAATGAGTACCTTCAGAACATGACTGATCCTATCAAAGCTCAAAACTGGGTTCTGCAGCGAGTTCAACCCCACCTTCCTCAGACCAGAATCACTTGCATCACTGTGGGAAATGAGGTCTTTAAAACCAATGACACTCAGCTAT